GAGAGAGAGAGAGAGAGAGAGAGAGAGAGAGAGAATGAATCTGGGGAAAAACTTGCCTCAAATGGTAGGCAAAGGTAGGGTTAACTGTAAAAGGTGGAAGGTAATAAAGACTTGGAAACTTTAGACCAATAAGGTCTATAATTGTAATAAGGGACCCTTTGATCCAGGTCTGGAGGGCTCATCAAGCGAGCATACCGTACCTGTCTGCAGGACTCTTGGTCTTTTGGGCCCGACACGAATCAAGGTGCAGGAAGAGGCAGGAAAATCCCCTGGATCCCTGCAGGTCAGTGTAAGGGTACTACTCCTTTAGGTAACTTTAGATGGTGGTGGAAGTGTGGATGACACCAAAGCACGTCCCAGGGGCACCGCTGCCTCTACTCCTCCGGATTAAGCCTGTGCGGAGCCTGAAGCTGAAATGCGTGGGGGAGGGGGAGGCCAAAGAGACAAGGAATGGGGAGGCGAAGCCTAAGATTGGAGCATCTCAGGTAAAAGGCTGGAGTTTGTGATGGTTGGGAAAGCCAGAAAGAGCGGAAGCAGTGTCGACTTCTGGCAAGGCAAGAGTTAATAGCTTTTGAACTGCTCGCATTTCAGTGTTGGGAGAGGCTTGTAAAGCTGAGCCTGCTGGGAAAATGGTGGGCTGGAGCTGGAGGAGAGAAGATGGAGCTAGAGTGAGAGGGGGCAGGGAAAGGAGGTGGAGTGAGGGGAGTTCTGAGCTTGAGGATCCATCCTTGTCTAGTTGGAAAACTTGACAGTTCAGAACCTGATACTGGGTTGTTTGTCAGGCAGCTAGTAATTTTGTTTCCTTGTTTCCTAGGATTAATTTGTTGGAAAACAAAATAAAAAATACTCAACATGCAAAACTCTTGTGAAGAAAATGAAGGAAAACCAGAGAATATGCCAGAGGCAGAGGAACACCGCCCTTCAGAAGATTCCCCACAAGAAGCAGAAAGAAACCCTCAACCTTCTGAAGGAGGTATAAGCCAGGAAGCAGAAGGAAACCTGAGAGGAGGGCCTGCTTCAACTGGCCGGGAATTTAAAGAGGACATTCCAGTTAGGCACTTGGACCCTGAAGAAATGATAAGAGGAGTAGATGAATTGGAAAGGCTTAGGGAAGAGATAAGAAGAGTAAGGAACAAGTTTGTGTTGATGCATTGGAAACAAAGACCTTCGCGCAGCCGTCCTTATCCTGTGTGCTTCAGGCCTTGAATTCTTTTTTTTCTGTGATATTAAAATCTGGCCCTTGTTTTCTTCCTGTTAGCATTTTCTCATGTATCTTTGACCTTTGTTTCGCTTTTGATTACCTGGCGGTATTCTATTTTAGGTAGTTTTCTTATTACCAGCTTCTCATTGGATTTTGAATTTTGCCCTATTTTCCTGATTTAATTTTCAATTGGAAAGTTTCACACATATGCATGGAAATACATTTAATCTGTTATACAGTGAAACATGATAGGTTACAAACATCATATTTAATATCAGCTCACATATGTAGGATGAAATTCCAAACTGTGTGTGCACTATATATATATATATATATATATATATATATATATATATATATCACTGAACTGAACCGCGCAAATTTCTTTGTGGTGCGAATTATTGTTTTTGTTTTACTTTTTGCTTATGTGTATTTTTTTAGTGAACATTTATCTCATCTATACAAAAAGCTGAGAATTTTTTATAAGTCAGAAAAGTAAATTGCAACCAGCTTAAGGGCAACGGGGGCACTTGAACTCTTGATGAAAGAACTATAAAAAAGAAATGTAAGTCTCACATTACCTCTGGATCTCAGCCAGAGGAATAAAACTGGCAATTCTCAAAGATATATTTGCTTAAGACTCAGTCTTTTATGGGGAAAATACTTGCCTCGTAGAGCTGCTATAGTATAGAAATGGTCCTCTATGAACCTGCTTGGTAGCACCTTGTTCAGCCTGTGCTAATAGTACCACAACCTGCTATGGAAGCATCAGTCATTTGAGAGAGGTCCTGGTGTGACTCAACCTGTGCTTGGGAGCAAATCCAAGTCCAGTGCTGTCAAGCCTTACCCTTCTCTTCTGGTTCCATCCCTTCTTATTGGCCACCACTGCTTCCTCTGCAGGTTCCTTTACTCTGCTGGCCTCCACCTCTGCTGATTCACTGCATGCCTTAGGGGTTAAAACCTGTTGAGATTCCTAGAGTCCGGGGTGGGGGTGTGTGAATTTCCCTGACTTATTAAGCCTCTTTGCCTTTTAATGACACTTGACATAGATGGGACTGCCGTAACATTTTTGAGGCTACAGTGTCTTGCATAGTGCTTAGCAAAGAAATCCCTTCTGCTATGTCCCCCCCTCCCGGAACTGGGGATTGAATTCAGGCCCTTATGCTTGCCAGACAAGTACTTTTTCTACTGAGTCATCTCTCTTCTGCTTTCAATCACAGGGTCCTGCATATCTAAGAGTCATGTGGTAAATTCATTTGGGAGCTGAACCTGGGTACAGGTTTGAGTAAAAGACATCATACTGTATTTAAGAGTTGATGCTTTTGAGTTCAAGGAGAAAGATCTTGTGATCTGAGATGATTTCTCCCTCAGTGCCTCTGCCACGACTGCCTTACTGGTTCAGGAGACCCTGGGGGGAGGGCATGTGCAAATTGCACAAAGTGATATTAAAAGATCTGAGGGAAACAGCTCCCTGTTCCTTATTCCAGAAACATGTAAAAGTACTTGGTATGACTAAAATGGTGGTGTGTGTATATATCAAAGGAATAGCCCCATTCCTCAATTCTATTCCCTATTGAGAAGTGGGGAAAACCATAAAAACTTTCTTTTTTTTTGTATTTTAAAAGGAAGGCTCTACAAGGTGTTCAGGTCTCACTACTAGATCAGACTCGTAGTGATCTGCCTGTTTACAGCCTCCCAAGCACTAGGTTTACAGGCGTGCGCCATCACGCCCAGTCTCAGTTGCCATCTCAGTGCACCCCGGGTGCAGGGCTGGCACAGCAGGCCCTGGGGATGGAACCCTCAGCCCCTGCACCTGCTTGCAGGAGCTTTAATCCACTGAGCTATTTGGCTGGCTCTGTCATAAAAACTTTCAATTTCAAAGACACTAAAATATGATAAATGTGCTTGGAGTAGAATGGCTACTGTATAAATATTTGGTACTGCATTGTCCCTGTAAAACCAATAGCTATCTTTTCCTCCAGATAGCCCCACATACTGGTAGGTGCCTGACACATCATGGTTTAATATTTAGTTGATTTTAAATGACTGTTGCTAGAAAGCCAGAGTATTATAAAAGAATCAGTAGATTTGTCCACATCCTTTTACTGAATTAGCTTGTGCAAGGCTTGATTTCTCTAAACTGATGACAAACAATTACAAAAATAAATACAGCAGAGGATGGATTCTAAATGTTTTATATCAATATCTTGTGTTATTACATAAGTTTTAGCTAGAGAATATCTTAAAAATACAAATTGTGGGGACCCACAAAAATCCACTGACCCATGCTCTGGAAATGGGATGTAAAAACAACATAGCTAATGAAGTTTTCCAAGTGTTTATGATGCACACTGAAAAGTGAAGATGTCTGGTGTATACAATATGCTTTTCAATAGTAAACATATGGACAATGAAGTGATTAGAAGGAAATACTGGTGAATGCTTACGAAAATTTAAAACTAGAAGGAATATGCAAACAGTTTTTTCAAAGTATGGAGTTCTGAAGGCAAGATTGACAGATTTCTACAGAAAAATGTAAAGATTTGTGTCAATAAAGATAAAAAATGACAAAGAAAGGGATATAATATGAAATTTTCTTCCCCTATAAATAAAAAGTATGAAAGAAATTCCACATTCACAAAATAATGAGCCAGACCTGTGCCTTTGGTTATATATATGCTGTTTTGGGAGCTCTTAATTCCTCCAGACTGCTCCTCAAATTTGTGGCATTCTTAAGGATGCTGTTAGGGCTGGAATGAAACTGGAGTGGGATCAGATTTTGAGGGTCACTGTGCCAGCTTTAGCAGACAGGACAAATGTTGCTTCCTGGCTCTCAGAGGTGAGATGCTCCGGCAGTCTGTGGAAGGCCACACACGAGCCACACTTCTGTCCAGAATGGATTTGCATTTAGGCTGAAGGCCAGGGTGTCCTGAATGAGGATGGCTGTCTCCATTGTAGGTCAGCATATGTTGCCTTCTTTCCCTTTTCCATGGTCTTTGATCAAGCACATGCCTTCCCTGACTCTGACCAGGTGACTTGAGGTTAAAGCAGAAGGGGCTTACCTTCCTTCAGGGTCTAGTGCAGTAGTCCCCAAAACTACTAGGACCAAAATCATGATAGCTAGCAGACCTTGCCCATCCCTCTTGTTCCTACTCCCAAAAGGGCCTGGAATAGGCCCTGGCCTTTTTTTATTTTTGGTACTGGTGGTAATACTGCAGTGCCTAACCTCTGTCTGCTTGGTGCTGGGCATCTGTCTGCATCAGCCTCAGCCCACAAGTACTGGAGACTCCAGGTGAAGAGATCTTGAAAAGGCATGTTTAACTACAGCTCATGAAAAGGAGTATTGCTTCCTGTCTGAACACCTGCATGTACTTCAGTCCCAACCCTTGATTCACAGTGAGACTGTAAATCAATATGAAGATGCCTTTAAAAAACATTGATGGTAGAGAAATCAATGCAATTAAGCCTTGCAGTTCAAATTTCTGAAATCATAAAGAATTGTTTGGGCAATAAGGAAGAAGGTAAAATTCAAAACTTTTGAATTTAAGAAGGCAAAGTGGTTAAAAAGATGATCTTATGGCCAAATAAACCTGGGTACAAGTCTGAGCTTTTCTCTCTACCAGTATGTGACATTTTATAAATTGATTACACTCTTTTTTGAGGACACGTATATTTTGGACACCAGGACATCCATAGTGTCTCAAAATAAAAGACTCTTAGATCAAACAAAAATTCCACCATCAGTATTGCTTTCATTATTATCCTCATTATAATCAATAGTTGATGTTGAGTGAATATTCAGTGGATTTCTTTTTTAATTTTTTTTAAAAAATTAAATATGTTTAGTACAGGGTCTCACTACACAGATGAGACTCGAAGTGATCCTCCTGTATTCAGCCTCCCAAGTGCTGGGATTACAGGTGTACACCACCATGCCCAGTCTCAGTTGCAGTTTCAGCACACTCCAGGGATGGAGCTGGCACCACACACCAGGGCTTGAACCCCAGTTGCTGCCCCTGCCTAAGCAGGCACTTTAGTTCACTGAGCTATCTGGTTGGCCTATTCAGTGGATTTAAATTGGGCTTGCCACATATTGTGATGTTTTGTAATTATCAAGCCCTACAAATCTATTATTTAAAGGGTTGGACTCAATACAACAGGAAATCACTGGCTGAAATTGAATTAGCCGTTAATAAAAATTATGAGGTCAGTTTGGTTCATTCATCTAAAAAATGATCTATAGCTGGGCATGGTGGAGCATGCCTGTAATCCCAGCACTTGAGAGGCCAAGGAAGAAGGACTGGTGTGATTTTGAGTCCAGTGTGGGCTGTAGTGAATTCAAGGGCTGCCTGAACTACATGAAGAGACTCTGTCTCAGAAAACTAAATGAAAAAAAAAAGACATATAAAAAATGAGACTGGGTCATGGAAATAAATGCAGACAATTATATGAAATGCCAACCATATTAAAGAACTTCAGAGAATGTTAGGTCGCAGTCATTATTTTTCAGTATTATCATCAAGTGGTAATGTTGAGGTGAAATTCAAATAAGAACTCAAAGTCTGTGTCTCCTTGGCTCTATACCACCCCTTTAAAATACAAGCCAACATGTTCCTTTCATCCATCATTCTCCCCTGCATAACAAAGTGACTTCTATTCAAGCTAAAAAGATTAACTATCATTCATTTGGAATTTGGGAAGCAATAACTGATTTCTTTATATTTGTAATATTTATGCACCTGGGTGCTATTTCTATATTTTAAGATGCAAAAACAATAAACAGGGCAGGGAATGTGGCTCGGTGGCACAGTGCCTGCCTAGCAAGCGCGAGGCCCCGAGTTCGATTCCCGGTACCAAAAAAGAAAATAGTAAAAATAAGACCAAAAACAATAACCAAACAAAAGAAAAAAAAAACTTCCACATTTTCATTTTGGTTAGGTACCTGGCAGAATGTTTGAAATCATGAGGAAAATCTCATGTGCTATGAATCACTACATATGGTGGAGATCTATATCATTGACACAGAAAGCTGTTCTTGAGATACTATTTCATTAAAAAAGTAGTTGCAGCACACCCACACCTACACCCATGCACGTGTGCATGCACGCACACACACACACACACACACACACACACACACAGGTTAACAAAAGTATCAGAAAATTTGAAGTGAATTTTTTTTAACTAGGAATCGAACTCTAGACCTTGCACTTGCCAGGCAGGCACTTATGCCACTGAGCTATATGCCTGGCCCTGAAGCGAATATTTTCGTGTTATAATATTGTTGAAAACCTATAGCTTTGTTTTTATTCTCTGTAGTTCCAGTTTTAATTTTTTCAGTGAACATGTGATATTTTAAATAATCAAAAAGATAAACAATTCTTAATTTCACTTCCTTTTCCTTACCCAATATGAGGGCTATTGGCTCTTCCAATCTATCATTTGATTCCTTTTCTATCGTATTTCTTAGCAAAAGGGTTGGACGTTTGTGAGTCCTGACTGAAAATCTTCCCTTGTCTGCCTTACCAAACTCTCCCAGTCAAATGAACTTGTACTGTAGTCTGTCTTTTGTCGCGTGGTGGTGTGGCATAGCTACTTTCTAAATATTCTCCAATAAAATT